GGGATGCTGCTGACAGAGGCGGGAGGGATCAGGAGCCAAGCCTGGCTCAGCCCTTTCATGTCTCTGCTCCCAAAGCACAGCCCAGCACCCTCAGCACCCCATGGCCGTGCCCTGGGTCCCAGGTCACCCCCACTAAACACAGGGGAAAACCCCCCTGGCTGTTGAGGACGAGCTGCCAAGCTCTGCCCAGAGCCAGCAGCACAGGAGCCCGGTCTCACACGCTTCCCAATGTGTGGATCATCTCTGTGGCCCTTCTCTGGACCCCTCCAGCCTGGCTGTATCTGGTTTGTACAGCAGGGCCCAAACCCGACCCCGGGGTTGGGACACAGTGGGACAGTGACATCTTCTTCTCTCTGGGGATGCCCGTGGTGATGTTCCTCAGGCAGAGACGGACAAGCCCAGGCTCCCGTGGGATGCTGCTCCTCTCGCAGCCTTGCAGGAGCTCCTGGAGGTTCTGAGAGGTCGATGCTGAGTCTTTGTGCTCCTGAAGCAGCATTAGCCATAGCTGGACCCCCAGTAACTGCTCCTAAACCTCCGGGGAGAGCCTTGTCCCCTGCAAAGGGTGTTAGTTCCACCATCGCTTGTGGCCTCCTCAACCTCCTCTGTCCTCCAAAGCCAAAACCTGCTCTGTATCCATGAGGGCAAAAGAAACCTGGAGAGGGGCTTTGGACAAGGGATGGAGGGACAGGACACGGGGAATGGCTTGAACCTGCCAGAGGGGAGATTGAGATGAGCTCTGGGGCAGAAGCTCGTCCCTGTGAGGGTGCGGAGGCGCTGGCACAGGGTGCCCAGAGGAGCTGTGGCTGCCCCATCCCTGGCAGTGTTCAAGGCCAGGTTGGACACAGGGGCTTGGAGCAACCTGCTCTAGTGGAAGGTGTCCCTGCCCGGGGCAGGGGTTGGAGCTGGAGGAGCTTTAAGGTCCCTTCACCCCAACCCAGGCTGGTGCGCCGAGTCTGCACCTAAAGGCTGTTGCAGGGGCTCCCCGGCTCTCACCGTCCTTGAGACCAAACCAACCTGCTTTTTCCCCTGGGAACTCCTGTTTTCCAGCCCTCCTCATGCAGGACACTCTCCACTTCATCCCAGAGCTGTGCTGGAGCTGGCTGCAGCTCAGCTCCAGATAAATCCTTCACCAGGGAGGGTCGAACATAGAGCTGGAGTGTCCTAACGTGGTGTGTTGATGCCTTTCATGCCGGTTGTGCTGGCCTTACGTGGGCCTGGCTGTTCCGTAGGGTTTTCCTATGGAATTGCTGTCTCATTTCTCAGTCTGTGCATCCTTCCCTCTGCCTGCTCCCAGGAACCTTCCAGAGGCTGGGGTCTGGGACTCCATAGGGTCTCTCTTGCTTCAAGCCGTGGTACTGGGGCTCTGAAGACCTGCTTTAGGAAAAGGCCGTCTCCATGTCACAGACCTGAGGGGTTTGGGGAAATTCCCTCTAAAAACAAAGGAATTGTGGCAGAGAGAAAGGGACATGAGCGATGTTCTGCCCACAGCCTGCAGGGTTCTGGGGTGGGGGCACTCTGCTGCTGGGGGGTGGTGTTGGCTGAGGGATAACCCAGTTGTGGCCTTTTGGCGTGTTTGGTGGCAGATTTGAAGGGAATGTGGTGCTGGATGTGTTTGGGTGCTGGTGCCTTTCCAAACCCTGGTCACAACTCTCCCTGCTGGGTGAATCCCATGGAGAGGAAGGGCTGTCACTGCCGGGGGTGCTTCCAGCACCATGGAGGAGGGAAAGGAGCTGGGAATAGCCTTGGAAACGGGAGCCTGGAAGCAGCTTGTTGTTGTGTGTCACCCACCAGCGTGGACATGGCTGGGGGACACGGGCAGGTTCCTCACCCTCATGTTCTCTCCCCACAGTCCAGGATGATGAATGGGTCTGACCTCAGCAGCACGACGGGATCCAGTCCCAAATCCAAAGAGGACCAAGTGGTGAACGGCCACGATGAGAAGGAGAACAACCCCTTTGCAGAGTACATGTGGATGGAGAACGAAGAAGACTTCAACAGACAGGTAGGACCAGCAGGGTGGTGCCAGCTCCGTGTTCCTGCCACTGGGATGGAGTCGAGGGGCCAAAGGAGCCCTTGATGGGCTCCAGGGAACGTGTGTCTGCAGGAGAGGGTGCCTCCAGGGAAGAGTCATCCCGTTTGTATCATAGAATCAACCAGGTTGGAAAAGAGCTTTAGGATCATCCAACCAACCTTTACCCCAGCGCTGCCAGGGCCACCACTAACCCCTGGCACTGAGGGCTCCCCTGCATGTCTTTGGATCTGCCTGTAAGGACATGGGATGGATGAAGTTGGAATGAAACCCTCACCGTGCCTTTGGGCAGCTCTTCCTCGGAGGGACGGTGACGGCTCTGGCACCCTCAGCTGGGCTGGGCTGTGTCAGTCCAGGCCTTCCCTTGCTGTGTGCTCAGCTGGAGGGAGAGGAGCAGCCCGAGAACCGGTGCGTGGAGTGTGGGAGCGTTTGTGGCCTGGTTGTGTCAGCACTGAGCTCCAGCAGTGTGTGCCCCTTGATCCGGGTGGGAAACTGCATTCCAGGGAGACTGGAACGGGGCAATCCCAGCACAAGCATGGGCTGGGGCAGAGAGTAAATCGTAGAGCTGTGGAATCCCAGCCTGGTTTGGGGTGAAGGGAGCCTTCAAGCTCATCCAGCTCCAACCCCTCCCACGGGCAGGGACACCTTCCACTAGAGCAGGTTGCTCCAAGTCCTGTCCAAGTTAAAAGGTTGGCACATCCAGGGCAGGGAGGAGAAACTCACACTCCCTCCTCTCCTTCCCCGTGCTGAGGGAGATCACCCAGAAGCGGGGTCAGCTCAATCTCCCCTCTGGCAGGTGAAAGCCATTCCCTGTGTCCAAACCCCTTTCCAAGGTGTGGCTGATGGATCTCTCTGGGCAGGTGGAGGAGGAGCTGCAGGAGCAGGAGTTCCTCGACCGCTGCTTCCAGGAGATGCTGGAGGAAGAGGACCAGGACTGGTTCATCCCATCGCGGGACCTGCCCCAGGGCATGGGGCAGCTGCAGCAGCAGCTCAACGGGCTCTCGGTGTGTGATGGCCACAGTTCAGAGGACATCCTGGTAAGGGCCCTGGGGGACGTGCTGGGAGGTCAGTGATGAGCACAGGACCTGTCGGGGTGGTGGGCTCCTGCGGGGTTCCTGTGTGCTGGGGGGTGTCAGTGCAAGAGCTGGTGACAACAGTGAAGAGCTGGTGATAACAGTCCTCCAGTGCCTAAAGGGGCTCCAGGAGACCTGGAGAGGGGCTTTGGACAAGGGATGGAGGGACAGGACAAGGGGAATGGCTTGAACCTGCCACAGGGGAGACTGAGATGAGCTCTTGGGCAGAAGCTCTTCCCTGTGAGGGTGCTGAGGTGCTGGCACAGGGTGCCCAGAGAAGCTGTGGCTGCCCCATCCCTGGCAGTGCTCAAGGCCAGGTTGGACACAGGGACTTGGAGCAACCTGCTCTAGTGGAAGGTGTCCCTGCCCGGGGCAGGGGTTGGAGCTGGAGGAGCTTTAAGGTCCCTTCCCAAACGAGGCTGGATTCCATGATAACACCCTGGTCCCGGAGCAAGCCCAGCCCTGTGCCAAAGGGAGAGACAAACACCACATCCTGCCATGTTTTCCCCCAGAAACCCCACCCTGGGAGTAGATCTCTTGGAGCTGGCACTTGCTGAGCACCATCTCCATTGCTGTGAGGACACAAGGACCAGGTCACATCCCTGGCTCCATCCTCAGGAAGCAGATTGCCATGGAATGATGTTTGGTGTTGGGGTACCAGCATCTGAACCACTGACGGTCCCTCTCCCTCTTCTCTTCCAGAGCAAAAGCAACTTGAATCCAGATGCCAAGGAGTTTGTGCCCGGCGTGAAGTACTGAGCACCCCGGCAGGCTCTGGAAGGACTGTATCCCTGCTTTGGGAATGTGATGGGGATGGAGGGAGCGGAGCAGCCCCCAGCTGGACTCTGCACCATGCGGAGCTGCTGCCACGTGGTGAATCTTCTTCTGCGCTTCAAGTACCTTGTTTTCTCCCCTTATTTTCTTTTTTAACTCCTCCTTTGTATCATTTATCACCTTTTGGGGGCAGTTTTTTGCTTTCCAGGACTCGAGGCCTTTAGGTCTATCCTGGAGTCCAGCACTTCCCTCTGCTTCCCATTTCCATGCGTGCTCCAAACCCGCTAGTGGGAAAGTCGCATCTCCTTGTTTGAGTAGGATTTGTAGGGGTCCCCCTGTCCCTCCCCAGAGCGGCATTCCCTGCTCCTGTTACATGGGATTTCTTTGGCTGAAGGGAAGGTGAAGTGTGAGTGTGATCCCTGAGCTCATCCCAGCCGCTCTCCGAACACTAACTCAGGCACTTCTCTGCTTCCTGGCTTGTGGGAGCTCTTAGGGGAGACCAGACCCACCACTCCATCCATCCATCCCAAGGGAAGGGCAGCTCCTAGAAAACACTGCTTCTCCGTACAGATTCCAACCCCGCAAATCTGGAGCTTATCCAGCAGGATGAGCTGCAGCTCTGGAGCATTTGTACCTTGCAAGTAAATCCCGGGAAGACCAGAAGGGAGCAGGAGGGAGTTGGTGTGGAGCTGCCTCCCTGGGAGAGGAGAGGGGTCCTCTGGAAGCTGAGTCTTACTAGAATGGTTTGGGTTGGAAGGGCCCTTAAAGCTCCTCCAGCTCCTCATCTGGGGCAGGACCTGGCTGGGCTTCAGCTCCTCAACCCACCACCCTTGTGCTCCTGCTGCTTTAAACCGTGGGCTCCTTTGGGAACCCGTGGTCAGGAGCCTGGATCCAGACATCTCCAGAGCTCCTGGGTGAGGCGTGTTGCTGAGTTCTGGCTCTAGTGACCCAGGAGGAGCTTCTGCTCTGCCGGGCAGGTCTCACCTCCCAGCTGATGCCAGCATTCCCTGGACTGCACGGAGCGGGGTGAGGGATCCCTGCGGGGTTTGAGGTGGAAGCTGAAGGCCACGCAGCAGCCCACGGCCTGGGTCAGCTCCATTAGCTCCTGGCGGGAGGGCCGGG